AGAAATGGCACATAAACAGGAAATAGCACAATTCTTTTAACAATATATTGCTCTAGAAACTATTATACATATAAGAAATTTAAAGTTTCCTTAGCTTATATAAAGGAAACAATAATACATAAAGGAAATGTAATAAAACAGACAGTATACGAATTAAAGCTTTTTAGTTTATATAAGATTGCGAGTGAAGTGAAGATAAATAATTCAATGAAAAATGAATTATGCAATAAATTATATTATATAGACTGTTCGACTCTTTTAAGTGAAGAGAATATTTTGAAATGAAATTCAAAATCTATGAAAATACAATAAAATGAAAACATGTTGAAGTCTGTAAAATTGTAAAAAGCTACATAAATCGAATTATTAGACATCAAGACCTTGATTCCCTTATCACTAGATCTTAGATTCTTGGTCTTGGCAATATTTAAGCCTTTTTTTTGCAAAAAATTCAGCTACTTGCTTACACCCTACTATAGTTATATAAATTATCTATTTCTTCAAACTTTACTGCTCAGTAGATAAATTTTACCCTACGAAAAAATGTTGTGGATCCACCTTCCACAGTGATGGTATACACAAGATTCAAAACCCAAAAAAAGATTTTTTTTTAAAAAAAAAGTTACCAAATAATGAGCTTTTATACCACTACCAAATTAAGATAGAATAGGTTGAATACTCAAAATGACAACGAGTAAGATTAGAGATAAAAAGTGGATGCACAAGGTAAAAAAGCTTAATTACCCACCCAATGACTCGATCGAAGTAGCCCAATAATCTAGAAGCCAAGATTAACATTGAGGGAAAAGAGGGCGTTGGCCAATAGCAGAGGGTGTTGGTAGCACTAGTCCAGATTGGTAGATTTTCGCCACCAACGGTATGGTGCAGAACTACCAAGTCCAAGTGAAGAGGCAACTCAAGAGTAGAAGAGCTGTAGACTTGAGACTTCGAACGACTTCTCAAAGATTTTGGGAACCACTGACCTAAAGGAGACGACAATGAGGTAACGATTGACAAGCATGTCGACCAGGCTATAGTATTTCAGATTTTGGAAATTTTTTATTGTATTTCAGAATCAAATTTTGGGAATTTTCGGTTAATTGGATTAGATTGTGGATATTGGAAATGTAAATTGGGTTGGGTAAATAGATTTGAAAGGTAAATGGATTGTGAGCTTGTTGGATAATTGTTTTTGGCCCTTTGGGCCCATAGGCATTGTTATAAGATTAAAAAAAATACATACATACATACATATATATATTATTGGGCCAAAATTAGGCTCTCTATGGTCTTGGGCCTGAGGCGTAGGCCTCATTAGCCTCGGCTCAGGACCGAGCCTGCGTCGATCCTCCAAGATTGAATAACGTTATGCTAAATAAGAGAAAATGTGGCTATGAAAAGGATTTTTGATAAGCTAGCAATAATCAGGTTGTTATGATTGCGCACTAAACGCTACATAGAATGGTCTAAGTAATAAAACGGGAAAAAAAATTGTGTAACTGGCAACTAGATTATTTCTTATTATCAATGAGATGTATATAGGGAATATTACAATAATAATTTGGGCAAAAAAAATCCCGAAATTGGAAGATAGGAGGTCTTCCGCACAGAAAAAGTTCATCTAGGGGAGATTCCGCTAAAATGTAGAGATAGGGGGTTATTCCACGATAAAGACAAAGATCAAGAGGATTTTGTGCCAATTATCGTAATAATTTTGAAAATGAAAGGATAGGGGGCACGCCGTTGTCTAATTCTCTACAGTGTTTATGCTATGTGCATGACATTACAGGAAAAGAAGAGAGCCCAATGTAGCCAAGTAATAAATTGCCGACCAAATACTGACTAATTTTTCAAGATGTTGATGTATTGATCATCATTCTACTTGGTACTAATTGTTACACTGCCGGCAATTCATCCTTGGCTCTACTGTACTCTCATCCTATTCATGCAATTATTACACTCTTTTGTATTTCTCATATATAATTCTTCTGTCTATTGGTGAAGTGCAGCATTAGTATATATAGGTTGAGAAGGTTGACAATATGCATAGGAATGGATATATACTCTGATCATGCAAATGCCAGAATAGCATGCGAATTTATGTGCTATATATCCAAAGAACATTATGGGAATCGATTCAATATTCTCTATCATAAAATTTCTCTTGTCAACAAAGTGTCTGTTATGTAAAAGTGAGAGTAGAAACTATAAAAATAATAATAGGAACACATATTTACGTTGAAACTCTAGACGAGAAAAAATCATGGTCAGATGAGGAGAAATTCACTACATCAAAGGTGAGTACATAAGATAAACGCTTTGACGACTACTCCAAATATAATACGATGAAACCTAACATACATCATATATATGTAATAAAACAGGTCCAAACAGAGTTTGGATCACCTTGTTCTGATAGTATGTAACCTGGTGTGTGATAATTACTTGAAGCATGAAGATGGCACATGAGATATAACTCATTCTAAGTTTTCTCGTCGTCCATAAGTGTTCTAAATTTGGTCAATGACACTTGTGTGGATACCCCCAAAAAGAGATTTGGAATGGTTGACATTGTCTACTTATTGTTACTTTGTTGCAAGAATATAGAATCTAGAGATATATTAAAAAATTATACACATACATGTATATAATGTAATGCATTTGGGACGATGGTATATATATGTTCATATTTTTGAAACATGATAAGAATGTTGAGAAGTGAAAGTTTGGTTTTGCATGTCAAATTCTTGGTACGCATATGGAAGTGTGTGCTACAAGCCTTAGTCACTGTTAAATACAAGAATGGCGTATTTGGTGCAGTATTAAATAGAATTGGACATTATAATAGTCAAAATGATTCAATTCATATTAGTGATAGGGTCATATATAGATGCCTTATAAAGGAGGCCTTGAATAGATAACAAAAGGTCCAACATGTTGGGAACTTTCTATAAAGTTTAAAATGAAAAGTTATTTAGATGAGGATTGAATTTTGGATACAGCTTGTGCCTTTCATATATATCCTAACCGAGATTTGTTTTCAATATATGAAACAGTTTTGACAAGTATCATGGTCATGGGAAATAACGCACTTTGTTGGGTGGCTGGTATTGATAGAGTTATACTTAAGCTGGTGGATGGTACAATTAGAAAACTTGATTATATTCTACATGTTTCAAATTTGATAAAAAATGTCATCTCATTGAGTATTCTTGATTCAAAAAGGTACAAGCTGTTTGGTGGATGTGAAGCTTTGAAGGTTTGCAAAGATGTTCATGTTATATTAGAGAAGCGAAAAAGTCCAAGTTGTACGTCTTGCAAGGTTGTGCATAATCTGTGAAGAACAATCAGCAAAAGGCTTAGTACCGTATTGGATATTCAATATGGTACAGTACTATTGGGATTTAGTTTAGGTTCCATGTTGAAGAATACAACTCACTTGAGTTCGAATGATATGGGTAATGTAGCTTTATCACCACCTGCGATGCCATCGCATTCAATTGCTAGGGACAAAATCAGAGAAGATAGGTATGTTGATATTGATTTTGTTGCTCATGCTTTAAGTGCATTTAAAGGTGTTGAGTCTAGCAAGGGGCCTTCTACAGAAGCATTTGGTGTTGATTATGTTTCAAGGTGTGTTTTGTCCCTATTTGATAAATTTTAAATCATTTGTAATTTTGAATTCGAGGTAATTCTATGTAGCAGTGCTTGGATTCATTTATTTTAGTTGGATATCATGGAAGAAGTGGAAAATTTTTGGTTCGTTGAAGAAGTTAGTTTCGTTCTTGTTGAAGAGTTCAATTCATTCCTTGCAATTGATTTTTTTCTCGAGGTGGAGAAATTTTGAAGTTTTGTTCGTTGCAGTGAAATTCGTGTTAAAGTTGAGATTATTGGGTTTGTAACCCAAATTTAGTTGGATTTTTTTCTAGAAAATATTATTTACTTTATTCCAAGCATTTTTTTGGAAAACATTGTTTCTTTTATTCTACAATTTTTTTTTATATTATTTTCATCTTTAAGAATATTGTTAAGGTTTTGATGTGTTCCCTTTTATATAGTTGGCTCCTCTTTACAGGATGATTTAATACAAAAATTAGAATAATTGTGAGAAACAAACTTGTTGTAATTTTTTATCCATTACAATTGAATAAAATCTCCAATTTCTATGTCAGATTAAATTCTTGTCTTTGTGTTCATTTTTTGTAGTGATCAATACTTCATATCATATCCCTTGCAAAACATTCGATGTATATTTTAGTTGGTTGGATTGAATAGCAATTATAATTAAAAAAGATGGAAAACTAAATTTAAGTTTCATTCGTTGTAATTGTACAATACTAGATTAGGCCTTCTTTGATCACTATTTTTATCAACCTTTCTAATGCCCCGTTAGGTCCCCATTCTCATTTTCATTCTTTTTCTCTCTATTATTTGCAACCACACAATCTTTCATAAAATAATATTACACGTAAATCAAAAACTTTTCATTCTTTTTCAATTACACATTTAAGAAAAAAACAATATTCTAACTATTAAAATTTGGAAAAAAAAAATGGGGGCCAAACGGGGCTAATACACATACTATCAATTTTTATCAAAATTTACTAAGTCGTTGTTTGATGAGGATTAAAATTAGATTTTTAGAAAATTTTGATAAAAGTTGATGAAATGTATGATTGAAAGCTATGAGGTCTCATCAAATGTATGGTGAAAATTAATTATTGATTTTAACTTAAATTAAAATTTGAATTTAATATCTGGCAAACAGGGGCTAAAAATCTGATTTTTAATTAAACTAAATAGGGTCTACGTTTCTTCCTTTCTAGTTCTACTATAAACAAAATTCAAGTTATAGCTTTTTCTTTCTTCTTCTTCTTCCCTTATTATTATTATTTTTTTTTTTTTTTTTTTATTTTTTTTTGGGCTAATTATTGAATGAAAAATTTGAGATCTCTCGAAGCTGTGCATTAAACATGGCTTTGGTTCAAATGAAGTATAATTAATGGAGACATGGGTTTTGTTGGGGAAGGCAATTAACATGAAAGAAAAATTTGTTGAAAGTTAGGAAAGGGAGCACAAGTATAAATTACATGGCTATAAAAGTATTACTTAATCATCTTCTAATCAACAAAATTTAATTTTTTTCCTTCTCTTACATAAATTTGTCTTCACAATTTGCCTACTTAAACACATATTTGGTGATTCTTCCAGTGTGAAGAAATGGCTGGTGTTGCAGAAGTAGATGGCGGAAGTGGCCACGGAGTTGATGCAAAAGGTAATTTGCTGGTGGCGCTACAGCGCACGCCAGAGGGAGAATCCCTCCGCCGCCCTCGCGGAAGGCCAGCTGGCTCCAAGAACAAACCTAAACCACCGATTATCATCACCAGTGAAAGTGCTAATGCACTAAGAGTATATGCAATAGAAGTAAACTCCGGCTGCGATATTAATGAAACCTTAATAAACTTTTCCCTGCGGAAACAGCGTGGCCTATGCGTACTTAACGCGACAGGTTGCGCCACCAATGTCACCGTCCGACAGCCAGCTTCATCGGGATCAGTCGTCACTCTCCATGGCCGGTTCGAGATTCTCTCGTTGCTCGGTTCAATTCTGCCGCCACCAGCACCGCCGGGAGTGGCTGCCGGTATTACAGTCTACCTTGCCGGGGCTCAAGGGCAGGTTGTGGGAGGGAGTGTGATTGGTGCTCTCATTGCTTCAGGCCCTGTAGTTATTATGGCTGCTACTTTCATGAATGCCACTTTTGATCACTTGCCATTAGAGGATAATGAAATTGTTGCCGCCGCGGCTGCTGCCAATCATAACCAGCAGTACCAAAACAAAAGGCGGCGCCACCGGATTGATGTCTCTGAGATATATGGGGTGCAACAAAATTTGCTAACAAATGGTGCTGTGCCTTCGGAGATATATTCATGGGCACCTGCAGGCGGAATCTATCCAAGTCCTAGAATTATTGCAAAATAAGATCAAGAGTCTATAATAGTTTCCAAGATCAAAATTTTTCACTTTATACAGTAATTAGTAGGGTTCAAAGTACTGAAAGTTAACTGATTTTTTAAGAAGAAAATTATGTTGAAATTTGTCGCTCCTCATTCTTATATATTAGTTTGACAAAAGATAAAGCAGATGTGGAGGAAGATACAACTGCTAAAACGTACAAGTGACAAGATGTTTAAAATTTAGCCCCCGTTTCAGCCCCATTATTTGGAAATTATAATGTTTTGAGTAGTGTTTTTTTTTTTAAAAAAATAAAAAACAAGTGGTTGAAAAGAAAAGAAAAGTTTCTGATTTACGTGTAATATTATTTTATTGAAAATTGTGTGGTAGAAAATAAGAGAGAAAAAAATTTTAATTTAATTTAATGAAAAATAATGGGGACAAATTGGGGCTTAATAAAATTTGATGAGCTCGTGAGTTTTCTAAAGTTTAAAAAAAAAAAAAAAGGAAATAAAATATACATAACATAGATGTATGCTTGATTTCATAAATAGAATTAAATGCACTCGACCATATATTACATATCGAATTAGCGATTCTTAGACTAATATCGTAATGTTGGAAGCAATTAGATCAAAATAAATTTATTTCTACCCTAGCATTTTAATATGTACTCTTTTTATAATAAACTCTTCCCATCTATTTATTTTATTTCCTTGATATATAAATAGTAATTTATTTATTTATTTTTTCCTTTCATCTAATATAATGGCAGAGAAGCTAAAGGGAAAATCTTCACACTTGAGTATTGTCAAGAGGAATTGTATTAACCCTTGCAAGATAATTAGTAGCTGAACCTTACTACATGTACACTATGGTATACACTTTAGTTTACACTTTGCCACATAGCAATACCCTATTGAACAGTTTAAATTTCAAATAATTTTTTCATCCAACTGATACTTGACAACAATGCAAATCAGTACAAATAACAAAGTTCTTGTTAGCTACCTGTATTGCTTGGTGCATAACGTTTGAGTTCGTGTGATCCTCCACCACGATAAGAACTCCATCAATTTCTTTCTATTTTTGGACAGGGGGAATCAAAAATGAAAATCCTATCAATATTATCATTATTCACTAATACTTATTTCTGATCTTTTTTTGTGAATGGTAGCCTAGATGTCAAGAGGCTGGCATGAGAAGAAGGGAGCAAAATGTAGCCAAAGACAACTTGCCGATCAAGAACAACGAGCGATGTTTCTACAAAGAGATGGAAATGTCGGCAAGTCATCCTTGGCTGCAATCCACTCCCTACTTATTCATGCAAGATTCTTAGACAAAATCATCAAGAAAAATGAAGGGGAGTACTTGCTTCATGTGTTGCTCTTTACCCACTCTATATATGTGTATATATAGGTTGAGATTTTAATGCGCATTCTAGTGATATTCTCTTCTGCCCTAATTCAAAGAAACTTTTTTGAAGGGCCAATAGAACTTTCAAGTCACTCAAAGGGCCAAATTTGGTTATGGAGAAGCATCTACACAGATGCTCATACCATCTTGGCTGATGAACATTCTTTTGCAAATACCGCTTTCCGTCCAAACCATGATATTGGCATCTCTCTCTCTCTCTCTCTCTCTCTCTCTCTCCACGAAGATTGAGTCGAGACTCTACTTATCATTAAATATATTGTAGCCAACATGTTGAATTAATAAGATTTGAAGTGATATTAGACTTTGACGTGAGTGGAGTAGAGTATAGTCTCATGACATAGAATCGATACAAATTTCATGTTGGCATATCTACTAGATGTATAGCATAATATTGTGGTCGAATATAACTTTGATTGGGAGCAGCCTTGAGGACTCTATTTTCCCTTGACTAGTGAGTCACTTATTTTCATGTAGGTGGCTCAATTTGTGATGGATCAACGCATACTCTCAATTTTGTCATTGGCTCATGCATACCAGTGGAAACCTTCGAACTTCTCTTTTCTCCTTAAGTTATTTTTCATCCTCATTCCATCTAATGAGATACACCAGCTATCATTTTAGAAGTTTATGTGCAACCTACCTCATTCGTACATGAGTTTTGCATTAAACATTCCCCTAAGGCCGCATTTTAAATGAGATTTGGGGTGATAATTAGACTTTGACATTGTTTGAGTATAGGTCTCAATCAGATGGAATCAATCCATACACCATTTTGGCATCTCTTTAGATAGATCTATCGCATCACATTATGGTCGAATATGTATATGACTTTAATTTGAGCAGGAGCACGATTGAGCATCCTTCAACTAGTCTCTTTTTTCTTGACTTTTCTTGAAGTCTAGTGGACTGCTTGAATATGCACATGCTGACACGCGATATTTTGTGACTTGCATAAATTATGTTTATTTAACTCGTACATTTTGTTCACAGGCTCGTGCACTCTCTTAGATAAATGGAAACCTTCAACTTTTACTTTTCTCGCTTAATTATTTACCCACAGTAATTCTATCAAGTTAGAATATTGGAGAGCTAAAATGGAGGATCCTTACATAGAGAGTAGATAATCTATAAATACATGTATACATACACAAACACAAAGTTCTTGTCTATACATATACGTACACATCCACACGGTAAACACATATATACATATTATGCCTGTGTCTAGGGAGCGTTTTTAATTCCAATTCTATCAGATTTTGATAGATTGGTCAAATTTTTCTTAATAAAATATTTCACTAAATGCAGTGACCATTTGATTAGTGTAGTAGGGTATGAGTGCATTTTATTTATGGGACTGTTTTACCCTCTGCATTTCTAGCAAAATGACATGATTGTTCCTCAGTGATTTTATATTTGCCCAGCAATGAAAGGCAAAAATGGCAGTTGGCAAAGTGCAATCACATTTGACTTGTCAATTATAGTGGGCGTGTAAGATGTGACAAAAGTGGGCTCATTTCAACGGTCAAAAAATCAATTATTTATGAAAAAGAAGTGCACCCAAGTTAATGTCTTATGCAAATCTATAGTCTTGCGGATCATTAGTATTTTGCAGTTTGCGGCTAAATCAAACATTCGAACACTAAATCCTGGTTGTTAATATTGATAATTATATTATGAAGCTGAAGGCCTTAAGTAGTAACATACACAAACACAGACACATTGGTACTTAAGTGATTTCGATACATATATAGTTGCTGACCGAATAGCAACTATTTATTCATTCATGTGATTACGAAGACAGCACGTTGACATGATTAATCTCAGCATTTCCGGTAGCAAAAGCAAGCGAATCCCCAGCCCCTTTTGTGACAAGCTCCACGCAGAGCCCCCTCCCAGTTCCTGCACTGCCGGTTGCAGTTCCCGGAGTTCAGGCATAATCCAGACCATGTCTTGCTCAGCCTCGAACAAACTCTAGCTTCAGCCATCTGCATCTCTGCATATATATTTATATAGAGAGAGAAACAAAAAGAAGGTATATATATTAGTGAAGTTTAATTACCAACATTTGAGTTGCTTGAAGGCATGCTGAAATTATGTCATTTTCGTTTTCTTAGCACAAAAAAGGTGCTTCAATTTTCATAGATAAGTCGGCCCATGTTTATGCTCCATTAAAATGAGATTTTGGAGGCAAAATGTGTTTTAGAATAGTAACTTTTTGGATAAAGTGTAAGGAAAAGTTTTGAGTTTATATGTGTCATTATTTTATGTAAAAGTTTTGAAAGAAATGCATTTTTTAAAAAATGCAGCCAAACAAGGGCTCGATACTGAACACGACTACATAGTATAAATTTTAACCTCCTTTCTACATTGAAGCGGTGTCAAATATTCCTCCCTACCAAACAAGTACTTATGACATGTTCAATAAA